ATTTAGAATGGTAAACCAATTCGCAATGCAAACCCAATAAGTACATAATACATAGCTTGTTAAGATAGCAGACACGGGAGGACTCTTATTCAAAGAACTCTTCTGTTACATTTACAATTAAATGCAGTGAGCATGTCAGAAAATGTTCCTGTTATACTGGTGCTTGAACCCTTTTTGATGAAAAATTGTTTTAACTTTGTTTTTGAAAACACTTTAAAACATGTCTCCATTAGCCCCGAAACACCACACGTCATTTAGACGTTGGTTTTTAGGCTAAATCTGTTCGGCCCGTCATAGTTTTGATTTAGTACAGAAATAGTTATTTAAAATTGGGCTGTGTTTGGTGGTTTGATTTTGTCCCACTTTAGTCCAATAAAAGACGATGAAAAGATGTCGGAAACCCAGTTTTCAATGATCTGAAAATCACGACTTTTCACCTTTCCCTTTTCAACCAAATGTAGATGATGTTTGGACTTAAATCATGTTGTCTTCTCAAGCTATTTTTTTGCTCATTGGGAGGTGAGCTACCATGAGGTCACCATTATCTTCTGTTGCTTGTTCTACTCAACAGTATAATGCATAAAATGATCAAAAATCCATTTTTTTTTGCCGGACACTCCCTTTCCTTTACCTTGCCAAACATGCAACCTCTTTTGATCTCTATTTTGGAAATCTGAGGCATCTTAATAGTTCAAGAGAGAACCAGCCTTTGTTGGATGTGCCTGTTTTCAGATGGCCAACTGGGAAGCTAGGTCTGTCCTTTGTTGGTCTCCTGGTTCCTCAGTCTTGTACCTCCAAGTTACCCCTGTTAAGTCAGAGAGAGATGTTGCAGATGGTCTGTTATAAAGCAATATGGCTCTGGGATTAGCCAGCAGGACACTGAGCAGCCTGAAGGGTGAGGTTCTTTGGCCATGTTGTCTCTGACACCTTCCTGCACACTCAGACGATTATCCCTCCATTTTGCTCTTCCCTCTCTTTAGGTCAACAGGCAAAGAGCATGAGTGCGAGGGTTACAATGTCTTTAAACTAATCACAGCAGGGGGCATCGCATGTCCCTGTGAGGAGTCTCTGGGAGTGTTTTGAGAGGAGGTTGTAAAGCTTAGGTTTGGAAAGAAAAAGCATAAATGGATGGATGTTGGTCACAAATGTCCCAAATTGACATCATGGTTTGTCTGGACACGTGTGATCCTGCTTTGTTTTCATTTCCATTTGTTTTCATTTCCTCTCATTTAGTTGTCTTTATAAGTGTTTTGATTGAAACTGTTGAACTCTTCAGTGGCTCAAAAGAAAGTGAGGATTTCACAAAAAGCTGTGGAAATATTTTAGAGATGCCTGTGGAAACTTAAACATAAAATGTTGTCACATCTTCCTTCATAGCTGTGTGAAGAGAACTGTACTCTAACTGTTTAGTTCTGCAAAACAGTTAGAGTAGTTTTATTTTCCCCTTATACAGCTTAAACGTCGCTTTCGACCTCTTATGTTATTTGACATAAAGGTATATGTATAATGGGGTATATAATGGGATAATTGCAGGGAGCGAATTTTCCCCATTTGTGGGGCACTAAAGGATAATTTTAGTGTTGCTTCCACACACAGCAATAGATATAAGCATATTTTATAATCTACTTCTCCTTTATTATTTTGTGACTAAACATAAGTGCCAGAAAATACCTTGTCAGGCTTTTGCCTGACAGTTCATTGATTATTCGTCTGATTTTGACCCTCTCCTCTTGCTCCTCGTTGAATGATTCAGAAGGCTGTACAGCACCTGACTTTTTAATGGCACTTATTTCTTAGCTGTGATGTGATCTTCAAATAAAGCAGCTGTCAGAGAAAATGTATCTCTAATAAACTCCAAGTTAAAGATGTGGCAAATTCCTAAATTGGTCTTGAAATTGGACAAGAAAACTAGCATATATAAGTTTAGAAATTTGACCAACCGTATTATGCACGTCATCTTTGTGCAGAGACAAAGACTTTCCAGTCTGCTTTCACTTTTCCTAAAAATCTATTACTAGTTGAAGTGGTTTGAGCCTTCACGATACTGTGCCTGGGGTCTGGATTTCTTTTCTTTTTTTTTTTTTTTCTTTCTTGTACTATAACACGAGTAAAATGGATCATAAATGACTGAACTTAGATTTAAAATGTGCAGCTTTGAAATGGAAACCTTTTTCCCTCACTTTGAAGTTGTTGAGCACTATTTCTCTTTATATTCCCCAGGGCAAAGGTTGTGCAAGGTCACAGAGCTCTCATTATTATGGAAATAAAAATCAAAACTCCACTTATGTTGATTTAGGATGTAATATATTCCAGTAGAAGTATCTAAATGCTTGCACCTCAGAATGGAGAACAAAAGTCAAACTCATATTGGTCTTTTTTTCCTGATTAAAGCTCTTGTTAATCTTAAAACTGTTTTATTAAATTTAAAATGTAGACATTAAACTTTTCTCTCTTTTTTTGAGTTTTTACGGCACCAGTGGCTCGTTTTTTTCAACATTAGGCTGACAGGAAAGGGGGAGAGACATGCAGAAAAAAAACAACAAGCCAGATTTGAACCCGGGTTGCCTGCGTCAAGGACTAAGGCCACCGTACATGGGTCCTGCACGCTAACCACTGCGCCAGACATTACACATTTAACATGATTTGAAAACTGAAATAAAATGAAAGCATTAGATTAAAGTGTTATAAAATAACAACATTATTCATTTGCTTTTATTTTTACAATGGAACATGGAGCTGCAGTAATTGACATTGCAGGATTTGATAGACACCTTTAAGAGGCAACCCTAATAAAAGATCAGTTTCTGTCTTGATATATATATGAATGGATCAATAAGACTTAGTGTCTCCGGGTTCTAGATTTTATGTTTTTGTCTCTGTGTTTGGCAGGTGCAATTGTTACTGGGTCTATCTGTCATTTTAAATGAAGCACCTCAGGAGCTGCTCTCTAACATTGCTCCATCACATGTAGTGGCTGCACAATGTATTGATTTTTCCTCTGCCCTTGTCTTGTCATTGTTATGGCTAGAATTATCAAAGAAAAATGTTTTTGATCTTCTCTAAATTCTGCTGCCACTGCTTAAGAGATTAATTAGTGCTATGAGAAGCTTTCCCCCCCCTAACCAGTTTTCTTTGATTTTGTTTTTTTTTATGTTTTAGATATAAAAATATTATTACAGAAAAGGGATGACCTCTGTAAATCCAACATACTCTTTATTTCTTTATCAGATTTTTTTTTTTTTTATTAAAGGGGTTTGCAGTCAAATATAACCCCTTTTTACATTATGAACCAAAAATAAAGAATAATCTGAAATAGATCTCAAAACTATATGTAGACCTCAAATGTAAAAAACATAGTCATTAGAAACTGATACCGGGCTCACACTGAATGTGGTGGTACGGCTATGATGCAGTTGTGATG